CTACCTAAACGAGCCTGGATAGCAACCTAACAAGCTGAAAGAAAGAGCAAGGCAACCGAAAAAGGCAAGGATAGAAAGGAAAGGTGCAAGGGGTGCGGGGGTGTGTGGGCAGGGCGCGCGTTGACTAAACGAGCATAAACGTCGACCAAACAAGCCTGAAGGAAAGCCCACGAAAACGAAAAAAGCAAGGAACGAAAGGGTGCAGGGTGTGGGGTGGGGGTGGGGGTACAGGCCCGAAGGCACTTTCTCAAAAAGCCGAAGTCGGCGCACCCTTGACGGAAAAGCCTGAGCTACACCTAAAAAGCCTCTAGCAAACGAAAAAGACCTCAAAAACGAAGAGCAACAGCAGGAAGGAAAGAAACCAAAAAAGCGATTGCTTAGCAGTCCCGCCTGAAGCCTATGATTACTTACCCACATGAAAGCGCAAGTCATTCTTTGCTATTGATCTCAGTAAGCCCTGCGGCATAGCGTCGGCATTCTCGTGCGTGACCAAGGATCGAGGTAGGATCGGGTGCAAGACCGTGGATCTGGGAAGGGTCACCCTTTACGGGCATATGCGCACGCAGCGCCACTCGTGGGGAATCACACCACAGCCCACAGTGGGACTCTGTGGCGAAACGCACTTAGATCAAGGCTCGCAAGAGCGGTAGCAGGTATGATTCCCCAGTGAAGCTAGCGCTTTACGCTTACTGCAGATCAGACCTTGGCTGGTGAACTGCATGGTCGAGGAGCCCGCGTCAACATTATTGTTTAACATGGGTGAGACGGAGAAAGTTCATTAGCGCTTTAGAAAGATGGAAAAATGCAGGTACGTTCCTGAGGCGTCCCTCGGGAATGCCACAGTCTCAAACCACCGTCTTCGTTGGGCAGTGAACGGTGAGAGATTCATTGCCCCCGTGCTATGGTGCCACACGGTCTACCCCCGCACCCCCCTTCTCTCCTGGGTTTTCTTGGTTTGTTGGCTCTTTTTCTTCAGGCTCGATAGGTTGTTCTTCGGGCTCGTTTAGTCGACCCCCACCCCCACACAACCCCAACCTTACCCCTCAGTTTTCGTTTCTTTCCCTTTACCTTTTGTTTCTCTTTCTAGGTCTGTCTCTCCTCTTAGAGGCTTTTTAGGTGTGCGACCATGTTGTCAAGTGAGAGCTGGGTTCTTTCTGGAGATGCTTTCCTTCCTTTCTCGTTTCTCTTTCTAGGTCTTCCTTCCGTTGCTAGAGGCTTGTTAGGTTGTAGCGGAGGCTTTTTCAGAGTGCACCGACGCACCGGCTTGTTAAACGTGTGTGTGTGTCACCCTGTCTCGAAGGGTTAACTCTTCAACTCCAAGCAGGGGGTGGAGACACCTGTCTTGCTTCTGGAACCCCTATTTTCTGAGATTGTTCAGTTTGTCCGGATTTTTTCGCGTTTTTCTCCCTACTGCTTTTGCTTTTTGCTTCTGCTTTTGCTTCTGCTTTAGCTTTTTGCTTCTGCTTTTGCTTTTTGCTTCTGCTTTTGCTTTTTGCTGTTGGCTTTTGCGTCTGCATTTGCTTTTGCTTTTTGCTTTTCCTTTTGCTTTTTGCTTCTGCTTCTGCTTTTGCTTCTGCTTTTGCTTTTTGCTGTTGGCTTTTGCGTCTGCATTTGCTTTTGCTTTTCGCTTTTGCTTTTTGCTTTTCCTTTTGCTTTTTGCTTCTGCCTTTGCTTTTGCTTCTGATTTTGCGTCTGCAGACTATCTTCTTTGCATTGACACCGCCACAAAGTTGGATGATAAGACGTTCACCTTGAGCTTTGACGCCCAATTACACCAATCAAGAAACGAAGCAGCCCAGCGCTATCTATATTTGATTTGCATTGCGGGGGAGGCACTGCCCCTCCCGCTATAGTTCCCACTATCGTCCACCACCCTTACTATTTCCAATACCTCTATCACTCGGACCACCCGCTACGAGTCTTACCACAACTGCTATTTTCTTTGCGTTGACGCTGCCACAAAGGTGGATTTCTACTTTGCTTAGCCCAAAGAAACCCGAAACCACTGAAACCCAAAGACAACCGCAGAGAAGTCCCTATTATAGTTCCTCTCTCCTCTTTCCTCACTCCTACTTTTCCTTCGTTAAGTGGGATGCCTTTTCCGGAAGAACGTTTAAAGAAACCCTAAAGACAAGAAACCGAACCCAAAGAAACCCGAAACCAGTGAAGCTAAAGACAACCGCAAAGAAGTCCCTAGTAAGTGGAATACCTTTTCTGTTCCCTCCCTTTGTCACTGTCACGCTGGCTTTGGTGCTTCGTCCCCTGCCCTTTCTGCTGCTCCTAGTGCTTGTAAAGCACTCCCAGCAGAAACAAAAACAAAAACAGTAGGGAAAAACACGTGAAAAACATATAAAAAAATCATTGAAAAAACAAAAAACATCCGGAAAACATCTCCATCCATTGCTTCTCCACCAACGAAGCTGGCAGTTCTGGACGCAGAACTGACGTATATACCTGCTTTTTGTGGTGGTGTTCTCAAGCTGTGACTCTCCTCTCCTCGTAAAGCTCTAGTGAGTCTCTTTTCAAACATTCTGTTTTGGCCGACCCAGCCACTTCTTACCGTTGCATCAGCCGAAGGCTATTGCAGTAGACTTAAATGCTAATGATTGCTAATGCATCCGGATTCAGCAACTAAATGAATGCTCAACCATGCCCAACCATTTGAACTTTATATCTTCATAAGTGTGTCAAAGTGTCAACATTCACAAAGCAAACGTGTTTATTGTGGCCCAGGAGGCCAAGGATAGATATGTTTTGTGGAAGAGGTCTTGGATGGGTTTGTACTGCGTTCGGAGAGGAAGATTTGTACAAGGATGAAGATAACTCCCTACAGCAGCTGCACGAAAAGGTTGAGCAATGTGCTTCCCAATGCGGGTCACCTGGCTTAAGTCAGCGCTGCTTGCAAAAAGAGACTGTCGATTTTTTATCAATTACGACAGCCAGGGTAATGTGGCTCCAAGCAACCGTAACTGTTGGGAAAACAGCCTCGTATGGATGGTGCAGCCAAAATATTTTTGTTTGATATAATATTTGATTGAGTGATTTAAGACACTGGCCAAGTACTGAAAATGGATCTGTTTTGACATTTCCTCGAAGGATCACAAAGGATTTGTCAGTTATAGCTAGCTGCTAGGCTTGCTGGTTGCGTCCAAGCCTGTGTCATTTCAACAAGCAGAAGAGGACTCAACCCCCGCGCGAAGATGGCTTGGTTTGTGCAAGCTGCAAGATGGCTTCAACCGTTAAGCTTGAGGACCTACCACCTCGACTGACCGTAGCGTGCAGAGCCCAGCAACGGTTGACCATGTGGAGAGCTTAGAGGGCTGCGGTGGATCTACATTTGATTTGTTCACTCAATTCTTCATTCAATGCTTACTTTTCTCATTGAGTGGTTAATCTTTGATTCCGTTCTTCATTCCATTTTTTCCATGTACTGTATCATTCCAATTGTTTATTCCGCTTGTTTATGCATTTGTTATATAATTAATTCTGTTGATTAGTTTGTTCATTCCATTTGTTTTGAATCAAACTTTGATTCCAGTATTCATTCCATTGTTCATTTCATGTCCCCATTGGTGCATAGTGCAGTATCAATTCCCTCAATGTACCCGCAGAGTGCTGTGAGCTGTTGAGGCAGACGGGGTGCAGTCGCAAAATAGCTTCATGGACCTGGTTGAGCAGGAGTTGACAAGCAGTGGAAAAAACACATTTTGTTGACACCTGTGAGTCTGAGTTTTTTTGAACTTTTGTTTGATGTGGTATATGGAAATGGTGGTAGTGGTAAGGTTCTTTGAAGCAACTCGTCAAATGAACGATCAAAGAATCCAGGGACAGACTGATGCTCACCTCTCGGTCCGTTCCACCCGAAGAACCAAGCGGAGCGAACTTCGAAGCTTCGACTGAAATGGAGAAATTGAATCCCCTAGTAGCGTCCTTGCTACTAGTAGCTTCTTGTTCCTAGTATAGAGATGCCAGGAGCGCCTAGTAGCGTGCTTGCTGCTAGTAGTAAGGCCAGGAGCCCCTAGTAGCTTTTTGTTCCTACAAGGAATAAACAGAATGAACAAAGGAACAAAAACATAAAACAGCCTTTGTGGTACTCCATGAGCCCTAGCGCTAGGAAAATTGGAAGTGAGAGCAAGATGAATTCTACAGTTTCGCCTCCTCTTTGCGTGCTGCTCAGAAACTTACTGATTGAGTTGATGGAAGCTAAGGACTTTGCTTGGTGTTCACGCAGTTCTCAACCCTGGCAAGCTGGCGACCAAGAAGGATTCAGCTTTGTTCTAGAAGCTCCTTCTAGGGGTAGTGAAACCTCCAATTCACAAGACTTTACATTTGAACTGGACTGTTCAATTGTTTACTCATGGTAACACGTAAAACTACGGTAAGACGGCTGCACTGTCAACAGGTCTTGCAGATTCGCTCAGTGACGAAGGTTCCAAGGCTCGGAGTCAGAACTTGAACTCGGAGGAGTTTTGTAACAAGACTTGTAAGTTCACCTCGCTACTAGTAACAGGTGCCACGCTACTAGTAACAGGTGCCACGCTAGTAGTAACAGGTGCCACGCTAGTAGTAACAAGAAGCTAAGAGGATTTGCAAAGAAGTAGAATCAAAGAATCAAAGCAAAAGACTTCAAAAGCAGACCTTTACAACATTTGTTTGGTGACCCCAAGTAAATTCTACAGTTGGCGATTGGAACATCCTGTCAGGTGCAGGCTTTGACGACGCCAATGAAGCTACAGGCTGGAATAAAGTTTGTAGGACTTGACAGGAATGCATTGCCACATGAATGCATTGCAGGATGGATCATTGCCTTTTGTTTCATACGACTGCACCTTGTGTACAGCTGCACACCATGTGGGTTAGACCAATTTCCCGAGTCCTTGAAGGCATTCAATGATCTCTTGCGATGTTCTGCCACCAACATAGGTGGGCTGAATCTTGTGCGTTTCACGGTGGAGCCTGAGTCACCAAGGGCTTGGTGGGCTCCTGTACGGCTCAGGTGAAGACGCCAGCCTAACAATTGTGGATCCAAGTTGCAACAACCAAAGCCTGCAAAGGTGGGCGAATGCCTTGTGGTTACATGCCTTTGCTAGTAGGGTGGAGGCCATCGCTAGTAGGTTGGAGGCCATCGCTAGTAGGGTGGAGGCCATCGCTAGTAGGGTGGAAGCCATAGCTAGCAGGGTGGAGGCCTTAGCTATTAGGTTGCAGACATAGTGTACCCCACTGGAAGTGGAACTGGAACTGGAACTCCCCCCCCGGATAAAAAAGATCATCCACGCTAAACTGACATTGGCAATCACTTCCAGACTCGGACCCAGAACTGGAAGTGGAACTGGAACTGGAACTCCCCTTCCCCCTCCCCAGTCTTCCGTGTTGGACGACGTGGAACTGGAACTGGAACT